TCTCATAATTATAAAGTCTTGCATAAAGGACAAATTTATTATTTAAATATTTTATATGACTATTATACCCACTCTCTTCCCCACTCTCTTCCTTTCCACAGATGGCCTCTTTAAGAAGACCGGCGAGCTCTGCAACTTGTGCGGCACCGAAGCCGCCGTCATCACCTTCTCCAACGCCGACAACACCTTCGCCTTCGGCAACCCTCCATCGACTCCGTTCTCGACCGTTACCTCTCCATGACTTCATCATCCTCCAGAGCCTCCGCAAGCTTCTCTTCCCTCTTTCGATATAGGGTTTCAACTTAAATCTGTGCACCATGAACGATTCCGATCTCTAATCTCCCGAGATATATAGATATATATATATATATATGTGTGTGTGTGTGTGTGTGTGTATTTGTGTGTTTTGAGATTTGAATTCGAATATATAAATTTTTGAAAGCTTAAAGTTTTTAAAATCTGAAAAATCTGTAAAATTTGAAAAATCTGAAGAACCGGGGTATGAAAAATTGAGATTTCTCTAAAATTTTCAGATTATAGGTCTGATTCAAGAATTATAGGCATGATTCAATGTTTTTCAAAGTAAACATTGATTGATTCAAGGATTATAGGCCTGATTCAAAGCTCAAAGCTCAAAACTCAAAGTTCCATCGATTTTTCAGAGTAAACATCAAATTTCATTTGATAGAACCAGAGTAAAATTTTACTCTGGTTCTATCAAATGAAATTTGATAAATTTTACTTTTAATTTCAGAGTGTAAAATTTTACTCTTTTTCAGAGTAAAATTTTACTTTTATACAGAGTAAAATTTTACTTTTAATTTCAGAGTGTAAAATTTTACTCTTTTTCAGAGTAAAATTTTACTTTTATACAGAGTAAAATTTTACTTTTAATTTCAGAGTGTAAAATTTTACTCTTTTTCAGAGTAAAATTTTACTTTTATACAGAGTAAAATTTTACTTTTAATTTCAGAGTGTAAAATTTTACTCTTTTTCAGAGTAAAATTTTACTTTTATACAGAGTAAAATTTTACTTTTAATTTCAGAGTGTAAAATTTTACTCTTTTTCAGAGTAAAATTTTACTTTTATACAGAGTAAAATTTTACTTTTAATTTCAGAGTGTAAAATTTTACTCTTTTTCAGAGTAAAATTTTACTTTTATACAGAGTAAAATTTTACTTTTCTCCTATTAGTGTAAAATTTTACTCTTATTCAGAGTAAAATTTTACTTTTATACAGAGTAAAATTTTACTTTAGTTTCAAAGTGTAACATTTTACTTTCATACAGAGTAAAATTTTACTCTGAAATACACAGTGAATATGGCTTAATGGGAGAGTTGATAGATATGAGGGTAATATAGTAAAAGAAACAAGTTTTAAAATATTAGGGGGTTTTGAAAGTACTTATATAATTCTTGTCCTTTTGAAAGACAAATTAGATAGTGAGGGGGCTATCACCAAATCCCCCAAGATTAAGTCTTAATGTTTTGTATAAAAAAATTTAATAATTGAAAGTCAATTATAAATAGATTTGTTAATGGTTGATAAAAATTATTGTCATTGTATATGTGGTCCTATGTAAAAATCTCGTAAAAATAATTTCTTTCAAAGTTTAAAAAAAAAAATTTATTCTCAACCTGAAATTAAATTTTTATTTGTGTTAATCATATTTATCAAAAATCATGAATCTCACTTATATCAAAATATATTTTTGATACAAAAAATAAAAACAACAACAAAATTCTATAATATATAAATTATGACTTAATTATAACTCATTGTGTATTATTTTGGTTATTAATTAAAAATATCTTTACTCATTTCCTATGCTTTTTGTTTCTAAAGTGGTACATCGGGTCTTTAATTATATTTCAAGAAATATTTGATTATGATCTATTATAATACTTAATACTTTCATATGACAATATTTAAGTATTTTATTACACGAAAAAGTGTTTAATGTGAGTTGACTCAAAGGTAGGATCTATACTTAGATTGTAAGAATTATTCATATTGACGTATAAAAAATTATAAATTCAAATCATAAATAGTGTCTTTAAAAAAGAATCATACACAAAATCTCTATAACTTTAATTAGTTCAGTTGGGTTTTCTCATCCTCGGAGAAGTCACCTCTTCGGAGAGGTCACCTCCTCGGAGAAGTCACCTCCTCGGAGAGGTCACCCCCTCGGACAAGGTGGTTAGAGAAAATATCCCCCATGTGCCTTGCTCATGGGCTCCATCCTACATCATGAGGTGCCTATAAATAGCACCCACCCATAGCTTTACAAGGGATGGATTTTGGAGATTTTTAACTCTTGGGAAAGAACTAATTTCCCTTCTCCATTATCAACCTTGAGAGTGAAAGTGGGAGATCCATGGGAGAGCCTTGCCATTATTCTATTCTCTAGCCATTTTGCCTTCTTCTTCACCCAATCTCTTATCTCCATCATCTCCTTTCTTTTGTGTTCTTGAGTTGAGACCATTGAAGAATCTAAGCCTCTCATCATATTCTAGAGAATTCGAAGTTGTTCTTCAAGGATCTTCGAAGATCTTCGAATTTTCCAACTCCTTTCTTGAACCCTCTCCTACAATTTATAATTCGGGCAATTCGGACAACTCGGTCAATTCGGGTTTAACTCGGGTCGGGTTTGATCAGACAATCTCGGATTACAATTCAGGTTTGAACGGACTTGAGCAAGTCTCAATACAACTTAAACTGAGCTTAAACAACTTTTCAACCCGACCAAATCTGGCCAAGATGCATCCCTCTTATTCCTGGTTCCACAACAGTCAACTTTTTGGCCAGTTCTCTACAAATTCTCGCCTTCTTCATTTTGCTTGCCCCTTAGCTCTCTCCGCTACACATGTAACCCGACCGTGTGATGCTTGAAAATTTATTTTTAAAATAAAAAATTGAGTGTTAATGTTTTGTGTAAAAAATTTTAATAATTGAAAATCAATTATAAATACATTTGTTAATGGTTGATAAAAATTATTGTCATTGTGTATGTGGTCCTATGTAAAAATCTCGTAAAAATAATTTCTTTTAAATTTTTTTTAAAAAAATCTATTCTCAACCTAAAATTAAATTTTTATTTGTGTTAATCATATTTATCAAAAATCATGAATCCCACTTGTATCAAAATATATTTTTTCTAAAAAAAATAAAAACAACAAAAAAATTCTATAATATATAAATTATGACTTAGTTATAACTCGTTGTGTATTATTTTGGTTATTAATCAAAAATGTCTTTACTAATTTCCTATGCTTTTTGTTTCTAAAGTGGTACATCGGGTCTTTAATTATATTTCAAGAAATATTTGATTATGATCTATTTTTTATATTTTTATATGACAATATTTAAGTATTTTATTGCACGAAAAAGTGTTTAATGTGGGTTGACTCAAAGGTAGGATCTATACTTACATCATTAAGATTGTAAGAATTATTCATATTGATGTATAAAAAATTATAAATTCAAATTATAAACAGTGTCTTTAAAAGGGAATCATACACAAAATCTCTATAACTTTAATAAGTTCAGTTCTCAAAGAGTTCTGATTAATTATGTGACACATCATAATAACCGTAAATTTTTTATTCCAGCCAAATTATTTTTGCATATTTTCTCTAACAAAACTCATGAAAGTGCATTATCAGTAATACTATAAATTTTAAATTTTTATTTAAAAACTATTCAAGAAACATCGATACGTGCCTTAAATATACACAATCATTTTCGATAAATTATGACTCTTTAAAATAATACCCCAGCCTATTTATCATTTGACATTTGTCAATTTATCTTCTAAAAACTTAACCAAAAAAAAATATTGAGTTTCATTATTTTAATCAATCAATATCAAATTAGACGATACAAGTGCATATAAATCAATTTTAGAAATATGATGTCTGATATAAAATCACAATAGAGTTAACTTTAATTAATGTAATAATATTTTATATTATGATATGCGTTACAAAAGAATAATTTTAATTTAAATTATTTATTTTAATAATCTTAACCTTATCGTTCTATAAAGTTGTTACTTAAATCCTTATATATAATAAATTTGGTTAAATTATTTATTTATTTTGATAATTTTAGTTCCATTGTGTGCTACAGAAGTGTAATTATCATATAATAATTTTATTTGATATATATTAAATTGTAAGAAAACAAAATAAACACGCACTTTGATATTAAAAATAATAGTTAAATTAGAAAGAGAAGTAAGTGATTCTAATTATTTTATTTAATTTTCATCTTTATCTTTATTTGAAAAATAAAAATATATAAAAATAGAACTATACAAAATTTATTAAAAAGATTAAATATAAATATGTTGTGATTGGATTAAGAAAAAAATACATAAATTAATTATGTAGAGTGTTGATTTGTTCTTTAATATTCTATTTGAATTATTCATACATATTGTATATAGGTACATAAAAATTAAATTAAATATAAATATATTATATATATATAAAAATAAGTATTTCTTAAATAAAATTCATATAAAATTGGTTATTATAATTGAAATTGAGTTTGTGTAAAACTTTACATGTAAATGAAAAAGACATAATGCTATGTTTTTTTTAGAAAAAATAAGCATTTAGAATGTGCTACATCAGAAATAGAAAATACTACATATATATGATGCATGTGTACAGGGCCGGCCCTAAGAGTAGGCAAGAGAGGCCTGCGCCTTGGGGCTCAAAATTTGGGCTAAAAATAGAGGCCTCCAAATAAAAATTTATGTTCTAAATATAAAAATAAAAAGCACAAATACTATAGGCCCAATTGAACATGTGGCTCAAAAAAAAAGTAACAAGACTAGATTTTTATTTTTTTAAAGTATTATAATGATTGCTTCCTATCTTAATATATGAAAATAAATTTTTATTTATAATTTTAATGATAATATATATAAGTAAATTTTTTTGTGACTACGAACAAATAAAAAAAAAGTATAACTTATCGTTTTATCTATGATTTTTTTTTTTTTTTTAATATAAGAGGGTCTCATTGATTCAGCTAAAGGATGGAACCACTCAATCCGTTCTTCGATTCGCTTATTCACGTGATTTTTAAAAATTGTTCGATATATTAGAATAGATATATAATTTCTAAGTGCTTCTCATTGATCTCACTAAGCTCAGTTTTGATTCAAGAATAATCAAGAGGTCTAAACATTGATTCTCAAGGTCAGACCTCTTTAAACCCTAAATCAATATCTCTATCTCACTTTGATTTCTTTGTTAACCCTATATTTCAATTTCCACTTCGCGTTTAGTTACAATTTAATCTGTGAATTGTTGAAGGATAGCAATCACGAATCTGTTAAATTAAACACAAACACATATATTTCATTTCACAGAACAAATTACACTGAGCATAATCAAAGGAACTGTAGAGCATCGCTCAATTTTACTTCCTAAAACACGACGACACATTTCAGAAGCTAAATAGATGATTACTAGGTCGTAAACAATACGATTATTAAACAGAAGAATCATCTGACTGTGATTCTTGGATTATTGTATAGAGAAGAGCAATGCTTCTTTATTATAGCTACTTCGACGGAGCTTCAAATATTTCATCCTGCACATTAAAAAAATTTGTCATCAGCTATAAATAAATCTCATAGTTTTGTGTTGATGATGTGATTACTGTTGCTTCTATGACATTATGATTACTTGTGATGCAGTCTTATATTAGTAATCGAACTAGATAATACAAGGTTAAATTATATTATTCAAAGTTGAAAAAGCGCTGCACAAGTAAGTAAACTCATAGTCTAAAATATTTTAGAAGACATAATTTGATAAACGAATGTACGCTTATGTTGAACGTTTAAAATGAGTGTTTGGTAGGACAGGGCTAGATAGAGCAAATGCAACATCGTGACACACGAGTTATGCAAACAACGTGATAATGGTTGAAAAAGAGTTTGTAAATTTCAGACGAACTGGTCTACTTTTTGGATGGAGAGTTGGGCTCATGATCAATTAGAAGGAATTATAAAAATCCAAGTTAAAATGGACGAAGAGAACATGGTTACATCAAGTGAAGGGTGTACATGAAATCAACATAGAAGGTGATAACTATATTTCATGGGTCACTTCATTGTTAAAGACTTTTGGTGTACTACCTTTGTTCCTCTTTGCTCATGTTTCCTTGGCTAGTTCCTCCTGTAGTTTGGGTAGGGCACTTGGCCCGCCTCAATATGCTTGATGTCCTCCACAAGGATCTCATAATGCCTCTTCACTTCTTCTGCTGTTTTCCCACCAACAGCCCTGGCAATATTGTACCAACGGTCAGGGGTGTCTTTGTCATACACGGCTAGAGCCTTTTCAAAGGCTTTGTTCTGCTCAGCAGTCCAACTGCCAGAGCCACGGGAGGACATTGATGCCATATATTTGGTTGAGATCTTAATGCAAGTTTAAAAAAAGTAAAATAGGGTGGGAAGGAGCACTATGTAGTGATTATGTAAGAATTTGATAAAAAAAACTATAGGGTTACAATAAGACGTTCACGGTGGGAAGTGATTATGTAAGAATCACGATGTAGAATTACTGGTCTAGAAGAATCAATTAATTAAAGGTGAAAAGGTGTGGAAATGGATTGGAAAATATGAAAGGCAAAGAATAGTGAGAAGGATGAAGAGAGACAATAGGGAAAACTCTAGTCAAGGGCTGATATGTGCAAAGAGGTGGCAATGCCTGGTCTTTATAGGCGCCAGGAGGGGAGGAGATGAGGTGGGGTCATTGCTAATTGGCCATGAAAATTGCAAAATTTGTAGAATTTTGACGAGTTGTCTCCTTAAGAACCACAAAATGAAGTTGGACAAAGACGAACAAGAAGGCAGAAGACTTAGTATCTCTGAAAACTTTTTTTTGATTGGCACCGGAGTGTCCGGATCAAAACCCGACTAATCCCTAGGGGTGCACAGGCCCTCGGCAAACTTTTAATCCTTTTCTTCCTATATACTATGTAAAAAAGTCGACTCCTTTTCTTTGTTTTGTTTAGTTACCATATCAGGTAAGATTTTATTAAGATATAAACACGTGGTTTTTATACTATAAAAGCCACAGCAGTTCTGTAAACAGCTGAAGCTGTGAATAATAAAACAGGACACATACTTTGTTTTGGACCTTTGATATACCTTCTTTGTTACGTCAGCTTATCAAAAATTTGTTCACAGGGTTTGGTTTATTGGGACATACTCTGGATATTAGGATTTTTCAGTGGGTTAGAGCATTGGGGGATAAGCATGAAAAAAATACATACAGAGATTCCTTGTTATATTTAAAGCAGTAATTTTTGAGTTGAAATTGTAGTCAAAACGGGCTGACATATTTAACATAGACTGGACAGTGTGGTAAACCCACCATTCCACTGTCCTATCCAAATCAAACGTGTCAGTCAGTTTCCACTTGAATTGCAACTTACAAATCATTTTTTTAAAAAACAAAAAAAAAATCGAAAGACCATTTCTTTCTTCCCTAAGACTTATGTGGGCTGAAATCCAATACCTGTGCAAATGCTTTCACAAGTGCCACAATCTAGTTGCAAAATTAAATTTTGATGCTCTCTTCACTAGAGGCGATCTTATGTGTACCTTGTCCTGAACAACATTCCAAGCTTTCTAGCTGGCCAGTGGAGCCCGTACAATGATTATGTTAGGTTTTCTCCAAGGAAAGGTCAACACGTGTTACCTACTCTTTCACAGTCCGGACCCCCTGAATTTTGTGTTTCTTAGCAAGGGGAGTTCTAGCAGGGCACTTAGTTTTCCCTCTGATTGGTGTTTGGTCACTTGGGCTCAAAAGTCTCCTATTCCATCCATTATCCAGAAATGCTATTTTATTGTGCTATCATCAACATAGTTTGAACATGTAGTTTACATTTACTAAAAAAATTTCCTTTCGAATTTGCATAAGATCTGATTTGATCCAAGTTGAATGAGAGTCCTTTTCACTTGCCGTGATTGTTGATTAGAAGATGAAATACCAGGTTTCGTGGCTGATTTTGTTACTGATTTTTGGTTCTTTAGTTGATTGTCTCAAATCAGTCATGGAAACTCAACATCAATGTAAAGAACAAGAAACCATGTTTTAAATGCTCTAAATGCTCGTAATCTATCAGATATTCAGATGGAATGTGGAATCCATATCATGTTTATGACTTGGGCCTTTGATCATGCTTTTTTGTATTTGTAAATTATTTTCTGAGGCTTGCAGATGGGCACCCACAAATGTAAAAGTGGTGTTAAGTAAATAATAGCAATGAGAATATTTTTCATCATAGCAAAGAGGACTTAGTTCTTTAATAATGTGTCAAATAGATACAAATCGAGAAAAACAATATACAGTAACTAAGATGCAGGGACACTTCTAAGAAGGTGCCGTGTCCGTGTCGAACACGTTTCAACACATGTTGGCAATCATCCAAATGTATGTTATTATTTATTTTCCTTTTTGGATCCGAACATGCTTCGGACGCTTGGAGGACACGTGTCAATCGCTTAGAAACACATAAAACTAATTGTAAATTTAAACAAATAACTCGAGATACAACGATAAAAGAAAAAGAATATAGATTACATATCATGTGTCATTTTTGTCCCTACTTCTTAGTGCAGTAGTACCACACATAACAAGTTACTCGGTGGATGTTTTGTTTTCTGTTTCCTTAGCCCTTCAGATGGTGTTGGAACCAACCAGTGGCATTAGCCAACTTGTGTTTTTAATTGGGTAAACTACACTCACCTCTTGAGGTTTGTGAAAATACAATTAGCCCCACAAGTTTGGCATAATTACATTGACCTCCTTTTAGTAACGTTAAAGCGATCAAAACTAATACATATAGTGGGTATACATATGAAATAAACAAAGGCAAATATATATTTTAATAAAAAAGAAATGATAATATCATTTTTTTTATCAGTATGACTCGTGAATTACTAATTGAAAAGGACCTAAGTGTTATGTGAATTAGAATCTCGATGGAGACCGGTGTAATTATGTCAAAAGTATGGGGCTAATTGTATTTTCTCCAAACCTCAACAGAGGTGAGTGTAATTTACCCTTTTAAATTTTAGCTCATTATAGGTTAGAAACCATAGCTTTTGATTCACTACTTTTGATCATTTTTCAAGTAAAAATGAAAGTGACTGTGATATTACTTCTCCTAGGTGAACATGTTTGAGCTTGCATTTCCCATGCATCTGTTCACCTTCTCACTTGTTTTTTTATTTTTTTATATTTTTTATGAAGATCTTATATATATAGCAAATATTCCTAGTAGTGCTGATATTAGTTAGTCATGGGCAGCCAACATGAAATGATGTATTAGAATCTTTTCTGGCTGGATGCAAAAGTCCAGTTGGTTCACTTGGGTGATTTTACTCTCCTCTCCTTTCGGTATTTACCTTGGAATTTTTAACAGAAGGTCTCATTTCAGAGGTTTTGCTGAAGATAAGCGTTGTCTTTTTTACTTGCCGTTTTTTTCCTTTACCTCGTACTTGTTTTTATGGCTCCTACTACTAAGTTGCTTTGGAAAACCATTTCCCCCTCTCTTGCTCTTCCTTATCTAAGATCGTTTATTTTAGTTACATATGAAGATACTATTTGAGGCTGGCAAATTGGTCACCGATGATTGCCCAATTTAATGGAATGAGTCTAACATATGTTTACTTCATGAAGCTTGCAGGCTTTCTTTTCCCTGCGGCAAGTAACATCGTGCAGTTCTGCTTAGGTTTCTTGAACTCCAGTCAGGAGAACCATATTCATATTTCAAAAGATGCTCACTGGAGAAGCATCTAAATGAAAAGAAAGGACACAATTTCTTGGGGGAACCTAAATATCTATTTAGAATGATATTGAAATCTCTTTATGAGTCAGATTTCAGAGGTTTGGCGGTGCGATACCATATGGCTTTAGACTGCAAGTGGACTAGAGTAGCCCCAACCTACAAGCCTATGGTAGGTAAAATCTTGCAAGTAGACTCCATTTGAGTCCATCCACGTAATGAGCTCTTGAATATGAGGAGATAAAAGGATTAGAATGGCACGTCGAGAGCCTCATGTAATAGGGAAATGCAAGCTGTTTCACTTTTATAATTTTGATAATGATACTGTCTTAGGACCTTTTGCTCTTGTCAATCAGGGTAAGAGGAATGCTATTTTGCATTTGTTCAAACTGCAACAACTGCATTTTCAAAGAAAATGTCTGAAGTTATATATATGTTAAATCAATGTATATATAGCTGGTCTGTTTTTGTAATGGCATGCTTACCTGTTAAATTAACCAATTTCATTCACTTTTATCGTACAAGGAAGATGAATATGATTTTTCTTCACAATTTTTCAAGCCATTTTGCCAATATTTTCCTCATCATCTTATCATGTGTTGCTAGAGAAAGAATTCTGAATTTGTCAATTGCTACTCTTCTGCCAAGATGAAAAATTTTCATTTTCAGCTACTTTTAACTATTTTTATCAGATGAACTATAGCAAATTCGGAAAAATTAAAAGTCATTGTGGCCCCTCTAATCAAGTTGCACAAGTCATGTTAATGAGGATATCAGCCACAAGCTAATGGGCCTGGTAGTGATCATTAGGTGAAAGGTACTTCTGCAACTATTTAGGAATCTTTACTAAAAAAGCTGGAATTGAGGTACACCTCCAACTGATATGTGGACTCCTTATCATCCAATCATTCTTGTATAGATATTAATACCTGTGGATGCTTCTCCCCCTCTCTCTGATGTCTTTTCATCTGCTGATGGTCCTTCTTTCAAGTTGGGAGGTTGGGTTACCTTCGGCTCCTAGTGGTCCAAGGCCATTACTTCGTTTATGGATTGGTTTGTGCTTTTAAACAGAGTTACACTGACAGATTATTTAATGAGTTAATATGAATTAAGCCCTTACTTACATGCTCTTCAAAACATTCCCCTTTTAATCTGTGACTTTATGGAGGGGAAAGAAGTTGGCTACCCAGACATGGCCCTACACTTGCATGCAAAAAGCATACTATTAGCTGTTAGAGGTAATCTTCTGAATAAAAAGGGTAATTTGGAGTTAGAACTTTTATTTGCTGGATCTAGTCGCATGGAGGAGAAAGATTCCCTAGGGCATTGTATCTAGTTGCATGTAGGAGAAAGATCTCCTAGGGCATTGTATCTACTAAGGAATAAGCAGGGGGGTTGGGAAGCATTTCCTGTGAATTAGAATCATACTTGTAAATTTGTAATGGTTATAACTTATATGTAAGTTTTCTTCTTTGACTTGTGCTAGTAGCACAACCTCAATCTCTGATATTGATGACCCATTAATTATCCCTATTTAGTGTGTTTTATGTTGAATTAGTGTTAGTTTTAACTAATTTTGCTTGTTTATGCATATTATATATATAGCAAATAAAAATAGATATTTTCGGTTGTATCCCTATTGTGCCTGTGTCTTGATTTTTTTGAAACTGTCGTGTCCCATGTCCATATATCTTTTTCATAGGCTCGAGGAATGGGGTCTTATTGAACTTCTTTATTTCATTTAATTATTCATCTTTATTCAAAAGATTATTTTTTTTAGGATCTCTATCAATTATTCATTCAATGGAATCTATTGTTGGATATTCTTCAGATCAAAGGTATAATACGGTTCTTATGGGGATTTAATATCTGCCTATTACAAAACTGATTTTTTTGTTGGGTACACTCTCTCTTTGTGGTATTCCATCCCTTGCTTGTTTTTGGTCCAAAGATGGTAGTTTTTTCCCCCTTCCATGTTTGGATCTATTTTCACACCATTTAGAAAGTCTTCAAAGTTGATAATGCATATGTGGCATATATCAACTGGATAAGATATGGTGCTCAAATGGACATGAGCCATGTGAAAGTGCAAAATAAATATCAGGGATAATACTTGAATGACCAGGCTTGAGTATCACCAATCAGCAGTCGTTTCTTGCCGCTGTGCCAATGAAGTACTAACTTCAAGTTGTTGGAAGATCATGTCTATGTTATTGGTCCAGAGTCTTGCTAGGAGTTAAAATATAAACTTCTTAAATTTTTTGAATGGTATTGAATCTACCACATGGTTACACCTATACTCAGATAATAACTTTCAATGATTCAGTGAACCGACACCAAGATATTGTGGGGCATCAGCATGGATTCTCCTGTCATTGTGTTGGTGTGTTGTCATCTATGAAAAGAGCAGTCTGAAGTCAAGTCAATGTTTCTTTTCCATTACTTTGGTGCATTCTCTAACAAAATAAGATTCTGTTCTCTAGGGTTTTTTTTCCCCCTGCTTCCAAAATTCAATGATTGATTGTAAACAGAATATGATTTTCTCATTACTTGCAACTACTCATTAGGTAGTCTAAAAATATTTGTTACTCATTGTTTTTGTGACTATGACTTCTGATTTAATGCACACCTTTATGTACATGTAAATTTATGGCTTCTTAGCCTTGTATACCAGTTAAAATTGCTGCTCTCATGCCCATGCTCACTCTATAGTCTATACCCTTTGTAACTGTAATTGCATAGTCGCAAAGGTTGAAAGGATGAAAACTAGCTCAAGGAAGAAGTACTGGAATGAAGTTGATGTTCATGGATGATCATTTTTGCTGTTACTCTGGAAAGATAAGGTTTCATCCATTTACTCAAGACTAGAGGTCTATTAATGTTTTGTATTGATAAAGAAAAAGGTTGTAATTGTTGTGCGTAGAACAACTCTTACTATTCCTTGATTATACAGGTACCAAGTTGAGGTTATATCATGTAAATTCAAACATTTCGTTTTCCATTTACCTTGTGAAACAAGCAGAATCACTAAACTAATTTGGAAACTCTGATCTGCAAGGTCTATAATGCATGGCAATAAACCACGCTGTTTATTGAGTAGATGGGGAGTTAGGAAGAATGGGTGTGGTACGTTACGGGTATGTCGATATATAAAAACTAAAAAAAAAAAAGAAAGTAAAATATGGGTGCAGTCCACTATGTCTATAAAAAAAATATTTTTATAATTTATACTAGTACATGACATATAATAATTAAAAAATCAAATGTAAAAAATAATTTAAGTATCTTTGTAATGGTCAAAAAAGAATTTTAAGTATTTTTTATATTTTTGATAATTGTAAAATTACATTATTCTATTGAAATTTTAAAAAATAGGCACGGTATAAGTATTCTAGGTTTTCTTTTTTTTTCTTTTTCTTTTTTTTGTCAAAATTACATTTGTGTACCCATAACAGTACTCGAGTTGTACCCAGCCATACCCATCCCCGTACCTAAGTTGTATCCATCCCGTATCCTTGCCGTACTCAAAGTAATTTATGTACCAGACATGTATTTCGTGTACCCATACTGGGTAAGTATTTGGTATAAGTACGGCAATGTTTTTGGAGTACCCATACTTCATAGATGGGGAGGTTAGATATTTATTTTTAAAATATTTTTGGAAGGAAGGAAAATTTAGACCATTTACTAGCTTTGTAGTTGGGATGAGAATCCACAAGTGGATTTGTGACAAGACTAGGAAATATAGAATTAAAAATGAATATATTTGTGAAATAGTAGAAGTAGCACCAATTGAAGATACAAGTTGAGAAAGAACAGACTAAGATGGTTTAGTCATGTATAACGAAGGGTTATAAATGCAACGGTAAGAAAGAGAAACATGAATCACAATAACACAATAAATTTGGGGGGGGGGGGGGGGGGGGGGGGGGGTGTTATGTGTTCACACCCTTATACTTACATTGGATACAGAAACTCAAATTTGGCAAGTTGAGCTACTAGCGGCCAAACCAACTGGAATACTGCTTGATTTTGAGAAGATTGATGATTTGTTAGTAAAACATAACTTCATAAAATCGCATTTGATTGATGATAATATTTAGAATTTGTTGCATATTCTATGATTACAATCAATTGGTGTACAATTTATGCAAAACCTTGAATTTGCTGCTAGACTTACTTTAAGGTATGCTTTATGTTAGGAGATGTAGTCCTTCTAAGTCTAAATTTCAGTAGTTTGATTTTGATTTTTGTTTTAACTCATGATGGTACCTCATTACAGACTTTTGCCATCTCTGTTGTATCATGGCGCAGGATAAGCTAGATGTCCATCACTTGAGAAATTGAAGAACAAAAAGAGAATTTGGGAATACAGGTAAGCTCAATCAAACTTCCACCACCCTTAATGTTGAAGTTGACCACGGGTTTAGAGTTTCTTCATCTTTGTGTAGAACTGGTGCACCATATAAATTATCTCATCCCTTGCTTAACCTCTGTTGTTGGTTGACGTTTTAATGACCATGCCCTTATGCTAAGAACACTAGCATGAATAGTTTCCACCACAATAATTGATGGTGGACTCTTTTGTTATATGAACTCTTCTATTTCCCCATTGTACTCGTGTCTATTGGATATGATAAATGGTAAGCGTGTGGGAAACATGTCTGACACCCTATCCAATTTAGTCACATGATTTTTCTAATTTTACATGAAGTTTGAAGAAAACAAAGAATTCACATTTGCTAGAAAATAAATATTTCTTTCTTCTCACATGGATGAGAGACAGAAATTTCACTTTTTTCCCAAATACCAAATAATTTCAAATACATTTCTAAATAATTTATATCATTCTAACTAAGAATGTTATACAATATGCGGTGTATATGTATTCAGGACATGTGTTGTACCTATACCAAACTTTTGCACAAGTTTTGATACTTGGATACGCACCTGTACCTGCTACTCATAACCAACTCCATGTAACATAGATGTAGTCTAAAACTCATGGCTAATCGGCAGGTTACCTGGAACTTTTATAAATCCTGGGTACACGAACATGGTAAACCTGTTAACAGAACTGTATGGACTATAAAAACTAGGCAGCTTTGATGTAAGTAGTGAAATGCCCTTAAATTTGGAATTGGAATGGCCTTCAATATCTGGGGAGTTGAGTCAAAGTGCTTGATTTTGTAGATGATAACTAGAAATCCAAGATCAGAGAACAATTACTACTTGTTTCCATGTACTATGATGGAGAATCAGAAGTGTCACATGACTCAATCTTAAAATTCAGAATGTCATTGAAGTGATTTGTCATTATCAATTATCTATGGTTCGATTTGTATCTTAGTTCAATTATTCATATTAGCACTCATTTAAGTAGTTATTAATGATGAGGGTATATAATAAAAGTGAGATGGTGTTGAAGCTTGTGACTGCAAGTGGTCCCAAGAAGAAAGGCTCTAAGATTCCAAAAAATAAAACAAGGACAAAAATGGCTTGCGAGAGAATTCATGTGATAGTTGCTTTTAACTGGTGGTGTCCATGCTTTTAGCCTTTCTCAGCCTAAAGTACGGCCAATGAACATTGGTTTCTTGGTATTTTGGGTAACTACACTGGCTCGAGTCCGATTCTCATTTTGTGACCTTTTCCTTTTCTGGTTTTTTTCTTTTTTCTTTATTCCTTTTTTTTTTTTTTTGGAAAAATGAATGAAATATCATTTTTCAACTTTTGATAGCAGAAGAGATCTAATATGTTTTTTTTCTTATTAATTAAGGTTTCTTAATAATATTATTAGATAAATTTCTCTGTGAAAATGTTAAGTGACATCAATTTCTCTATGAAATGTTATATAAATTAATATCAGGGTCCTTAAACTGCTAATCTCTTCTTTTTATTTATTTAGTTTTTGATAGCACACCATAAGAATTGGGTGTAGGAATGGCCATGGGGTGGGTTTGTAATTGCCTCCACCCTCGCCCCATATCATTTTTGGGGGTGGGTGCGTCTGGGGGGTGAGCGGGGTGGGAGCTTGTTAATTTTTGTAACTTAAAAATGAAAATAATACTAATAATTTGAGATTATATAGTATATTGTGAATAATAATTTATAATTAATGAAAGTTAAAATATATAAGATGAAAAATAAATGAGTGACAATGAATAGTAAGTATATTATTTTAGTGGTTAAATCTTTGTATGTTAAAAAATTTAAAAATATATATATTATTTACATATAAATATATTCAAGGGACAATTACATAAAAGTTTATAATTTTTTGGACTTTCAAGTCTCATTAAATTTTTAATAGTCGGTTTTGCCCTTCAAATAATGATTGATCGTCATTTATAATTATCTATAAAGGAACATGATGATTTGACATTTATTTTGATTTTCAAAATTTTAAAACATCAACTTTCAAATTGAAAATATTTTTTTTAAAAAAATTATGTGAAAAAAAAAACTATTGTTTGGTTTTAATTTTTAAAAAATAGTTTTAAGAAAATTCTGTTTTTTTATTTTTATTTTTCATATTTTAATGTTTTCAATGAATTTTTTTAATATTTTAAGCATTTTTTTAAAAATTTTTTGGACACACCTAACATAAATACACTTTAAAAATAAAATATTTATAAATTTTTTTTAAAAAAATATACTAAATATCAAAAAAATGCAATATATATATATATATGAAAATTTTGTACATTTTTCATATTTTTGTGTATTTATTAATTTTTTAAAATATTTTTTTACAAATATTTTACTATTTAGATATATCTAAGTAAGGTACATCTAAAAAAATAAAAAATAGAAATTTAAAAATATATAATTGCAATAATAATTTCTTATTTTTTTTTTTTTTGAAAAAATTGAATTATTATTTTTAACAAAACTGAAGATTGTGTCTATAAAAGAGCGTGATGATGGAACATTGATATGAAAACTGATAATATTCTCAGTTTTAAAACCGAAAAAAATTGTTAATGTTCTCGATTTTATTAAATAGTTAAATCAAACCAATAAGTAGAAGTGCAAAAAGTTTAATCTCATGCTCTGGGTTTTTTTTTCATCAATTAGTGAAACAATTATTTAGAATATTACTATGCAAAATTAATAATGTTCTTAGTTTTAAAAATTAAAAAAAAAAATTGGTAATATTCTCAATTTTACTATATATGACTTATTGGTTTAAAAAATCTTAAATAGGATCTAAGCTACCATAACATTTGTAAATAAGACTTTTAGGTAATTAATTCTATATTTAATAAAGAGTGTTGCTATTAGCACATCATCAATTATTTTGGACTTTCCATTTCTTTGAATCCTCATTTATAAATTCTAAAACCCTTAAATTTTTTTTTTATCCCTCCAAATAATATCAAAATTATTCTTGTGAAAATATTTTACTCATTTAATTGAATACGCA